AAGGAAAAAAATAGCCAAGTATAACCACATAACACAGTTACTGTTTCTAACTGTGTAACACTCCACACCATAATTCCTTATCTCTCCAATGCCAATGAAATGCATTTCTGCATCCCTTCTTCATGACTGAAGTAAGTCATTTTAATTATATGGCATTCAGCTTTATTTTTATTTTCTTTTTATTTACATTGTTGTAATTTTGTTTTTTACTGGTTCTCATTACCTCACTTTTTATCATTTCCTTTAAATCTTTCCATGTTTCTCTCAATTTCTCATATTTGTCATTTCTTCCATCGTTTTCATGTACCAATTTGTTTAGCTATTCCCTGATGAGTAGACACCTTTTTTGTCTAATAATTCTTTACCGCCATAAAAAGTGCTGCTTTGATTTCTTTGGTATATAAATTTCTGGGTCAGAGGCTAAAAACAATTTAGTCACTTTTTCACATAATTCTTAATTGTTTTCTAGAATGATTGGACAAATCCATAGCTTCACCCATAGTCTGCCTGTTCTTCTGACTCCTTTACCATTGATTGTTTCTATTTTTTCATTATTGTCAGTTAATTAACAAACATTTTTTATGTACCTACTATGTACCAAGCACTGTTCTAAGAGAGAGGAAGACAAAAAGAAGAAAAATACTGTCCCTGTCCTCAATTTGTTGAATGTGAGATGACCTTTCACATGGTTGTTAGAGTTTGCAGTTCTTTTGAGAAGGAAATCAGTGTGGTGCAGTGGAAAAGGACACATTTGAAATTTGAGGGATGAGTTCATTCTGGCTCCCCTCTACATGTATCAAATTGGGCAAGTCACTTCACTTTTCTGGGATTCTTTTTCCTAATCTGTAATATGAAGAGGTCTCTAAAATCCCTTCCACTCTAAACCTATGAGCCGATAAACTGTTTTATGTCCTTGACTTACCTATGGGAGAATGGTTCTTAATCTCAGATACCTGTGTCAGTTTTACAAATGTCTTAGATATCAGAAATGCTAGTTGTAGCAACCTAGACCAGAGGAAGAAATTAAAAGCATAAACAGCAGCAAAGAATATATAAAGATTTCCCCATTTGTAGGTGAAATGATGGTTTTCTTAGAAAACCCCAGAGAATCAGCAAAGAACTGAGACAGTAGCTCTTATTGTAAATTCTTAGCAGTATTAGTATTGTATAACAGAAATCCTCTAAAATCATCAGTATTTTTTTTTCTTTGGTGAGGCTGTTGGGGTTAAGTGACTTTCCCAGCGCCACACAGCTAGTAAGTGTCAAGTGTCTGAGGCTGAATTTGAACTCAGGTCCTCCTGACTCCAGGGCTGGTGCTCTATCCACTTTGCCACTTAGCTGCCCCTGGTATTTCTTTATAATAATAACAAAACCCATGAGGAAATTTTAGAAAGAGAAATCGTATTCAGAATCACTGTAAAATGTATAAAATATCTGGAAATCAGTCTACCAAGTCATATCCTGGACTAAATAAATTTTAAAACAAGCCAAATATGTTCTTTTCTACCCAAGAGCATGATTTTTGCATTAGTCCATTGCATCAGAGAACAATTAAGTCATTCTAGGATCAGGCTAACTAAGGCCAGTCCAGTGATTCAGTGTTGGGAATTAAAATGCAGTGTGGTATTTGAAGATCATGAAATGAAATAAAATACTTTATGAATAACAAATTAAAAGTGTACTGCTCCTAATGTTAAAAAGGATATAAAATGCTTCACCCCCCTGGCTCCACATTTACCATGGCAACTAGCCACACTAAGTCAGGAAAACATTCCCTTAAGTCAGTAGAGGTTCTGATAAAATTTTTGATGCCATCTTTCCTCTAATTTGGGCCTTTTACTCCTTTGGCTACAAGGAAGCCATATGCCGCCCCACTCCTACCCATTCAAGTTCAGCCCAGCCTATATAAAACATATGTCCCTCCTACTACATAGGTAGAAGCATAGAGATCAATATACAGAAACATGCCGCTTATTCTTCCTTTTACTCCCCCTTACTGTAAGTGCTTTAATGGCTATCTGAAAAAAAAGCTGCTATAGAAAATGCTAAAGCTTTTTTATATTTTGTACTTTAAAAAAAATTAAAACTGACCAGTAGGAGGAGATTGGAAGAAATTGTTGAACGATATTAGGAAAAATTATAAATATGCTAATAATGGTTTCCAAAGTATACATCAGTAATTATAAAAAGTAAATATCTCCTAAATAAAAATGACTTCCCTTTGAATACAGATCACTAAACAACACCAAATGTGTATATTATTTAATTAATGATTTACATGATGAAATACATATTTATTATATTTGATAAACAGTGTGATAATGTATATTTTAGCATGCTTGAGGTACTGGATAATGATCTTTATTTTGAACTTGTGTCCTAAAGAATATGCTATCTGCCTGATAAGTTATTTAACATTAATGTGTTGGTTCTTTACTAAATACCACATCCACTGGTGTACTAATTTTCTCAGTTGGAAGATTTACAGGATTCATATAGTAGTAAAAGGGCTTTATGAATTCCTAAATGGAAGGAACAAAGGGAAGGGAATTATTGTTTACACTGGAAAATAAGCAGTTGCCGCTCAAAATGATTTATCCCAGCTTGCTATGATCCACTTGGGCTTTTGAATACTTGATTGTTTCTCTGTTCACTGGGTTCTAATTGATGTTTTCCCTTTATATATAACAAGCTAGGCTCCCCTACCCCCCTTTAATGAAATCTCTCTGTGTAGAAATGTAAATGGGGATAAATGGGGAAATCTCTTTTGTTCAGTCCCATTGTGATATGTTTGTGTATTTTTCCTACTGCTTGAGAACTTCCAGAAAATCCACCAACACCCTGCCAAGATTCTTTGATGCTAGAATATAGATTCTAAAACATAAAAGTTATAAAATTTGACCACTGGGAAGGCATTTGAATATATCTTCTTCAACCCTTTCATTTCCTGATGAGGAAACTGCAGCTGGGAATAAGTTAAAGATTTTTCCCAAAGTTTTTGACTGAGCTAAGGTCTAGAACCCAGGTCTCATTTGAGTACTTTTTCTGCTACACTACACTGCACTGCTTCGCATGTTGCCTAACCACTTTTTTTTGTATGCCTCAGGAATGTAAAATTGACACAATTCTGAACCATTGAGGTCACTATATTTTAATTACGTAATTTGGTTCGCTTATAATTAAGGCCTTAAAGACCCAGAATTGATAGGTGATTCATTTAACAAACATTTATTATACTCTTGTTATGTGCAAAACACTATGCTGGGCAATGGGGAAGCAAAGAAAACAATGAAACCTGCACTAGTACCAATCTCCCATTACATTCATATGTTTACTATGCTGGGGTAGAAAGACAAAAAAGAACAAAAGAATCCCTCACCTCATGTAGCTGATATTTGAAGTATGTACACAGATAAGGAAATACTCTCACTGTCTCTCTCTCCCTCTCTCTCTCTCTTTCTCTCTCTTTATCTCTCTTTCTCTGTTACACAATAACTCTGGGGGAGGGGAAGGCATAAGCTTCTGTTAGTCTAAATTTTCATGAGAGTGAGGGAATCTTAAGAGGTAAAAATGAGGGAGTGCATTCCCAAAATAGCTTGGGTAAAGGCTTAAAGATGGAGCACAGAAACAACCTGGACACTTGGGATGGAATATAGAATGTGTTAAAAGGAACAATATAAAGGCAGAGAGTGGTATTTTAAATGCCAAACAAGGGGGTTTTATCTCAAAGGTAGTAGAGAGCCACTGGCACTTCTTTAGCAAGGTGAATGAAATGATCAGATCTGTGTTTTAGTAATATGAGTTTACCAATTATGTGAGGGAGGATTGGAGAGAAGAGAAACTGGATCTGGGAAACCAGTTAAATGACTACATAAAAAAATCCAGGAAAAAAAAAAGTAATAATAAGGATCTGAATTAGTGTAGTTGTGAAGTGAGTGGATTAAAAGGAGTGGGTACAACAGATACTGTAAATATAATCAATAAAACTTAACAACTAATTGAATAGTGGAATGAGGGAAGTGGAATAGTCAAGGATGACTTTAAGATTATTAACCTGGTTAAAGAAAAGGATAACCAGTTAAAAATATCCAATAGGCAGTTGGTGAAAAAGCACTGGATCTCAAGAGAGAGAATGGGGTTGTGGATATTTTGATCTAGGAGTCATCTCTGTGGAGATGCAGTTGAGGGGCAGTGTGGTTCAGTGGAAAGGGCACTGATTTTGGAGTCAAGGGACCTGGGTTCAAATACTGCTTCTGTCACTGCTTCTGTAAGACCTTAGGCAAGTTTTCTAACCTCTGTGGACCTCCGTTTCCTTATCTGCAAGGTGAGGGGGGTGGACTGAATGGCCTAGGTCCCTTACAGTACTAAATCAGTGATCTGATGAACTCGTGGAAGATGATGACCAAGACAACATGTAGGAAGAAAAGAATGAACAGAATAGATGTGAATAATATTCTCCCTACCTTCCCCGTCCCCATGCTAGAGAGTACAACACAGATGATGGTCCAGCAAAGGAGACCGAGAAGGAGCATCCAGGTATAGGGAAAGAACAAAGAGGAGCATATCACAAAAATCCAGGAAGAAGAAAATATTCAGTAGTGAGTGATCAAAAGTGGCATGTTATAAAGAGGGCAAAAGAATGGAGACTGAGAAAAGACATCAGATAGGCAATTTGAGAACTTTGGAAATACGGTTTCATTTGAGTGATGAGATCAGAAGTCAGCTTACAAGGGATTGACTCTATATACTGTAAAGAAATATCAAAATTTGAAGGAAACTTTATGTAGGGCCAACTATAAGATGTGGTCGGGGGTACAAAAGAAATAGAGTTCTTGCCCTTGTAGAGTTAATTAATATTTTTATGTGTAAGAATGACTTGAAATGACCCCCATTATGCTTATCTAAGTGTTATAAGTAGTTTTGCAATTAATAATTCTAAGTCATTTGATTACTTGCTTGTTTTTTTCCCCACTCCCTTCTCCATATCTTGGTGGTGTTAGGATTCTCACCCTGTTGTGATTGAGCCTGCTTCTGTCCTGAATGGAGGGAAAAATTCACTCAATGTAGCAGTACATCCTATAGAGCAGGGGGATGAAAGAATGGGTGGAGGTTTCAATTATATGTGTCCCACAGAAGAAAAGTTGTCAGACAATATTTCTACTGCATCGGAAGCCTCAGAGACTGCTGGCAACAGTAAGCATAATTTTTTGTTTCTACTTGGATTTAGTCTGGGTCATATGTCAATGAAGTCTATACTTTAAGAAATTCCAAAACATAGGATAGCAGGCTACAATCCTCGTAAGTCAGTTGTAGCTGTAAATGTAGCAGCTGAACCACAAGATTCTTAAATTCTTTATTACATCTTTATTTAAATACAGTTTTATATGGTCTTTCACTATGATTTATTTTCACAGTCTCATTATCTTTATATTACAATATGTTACCATTAGGGTAATTTATTAATCTGTGGACCTAGATTTTATGGACCAAAATTTACAGAAATAGGAGTGTTCTGCCCGTTAGGTTATATTGATCTTATAGTTAATACTCAGGCAAGTATATCTTAGTTAGGTCATCTTCGCGTCTGACAGCAAAGATCTTTGACAAATTTGTGGGAATTGTTTTGTCAAAATACAGTCACAATTCAAAATGTTTTTATTTGTCCTTGTGAGGTGTTGAGATCATACAAAAATTGCCATTTTAACATGACGTCTTTTGGTTATATTTGACATTTATGTAGCACCTTAAAATTTGCTAAATACTTTATGTATATTATCTCATTTCATCCTTATAATATCTTAGATCCAGGGTGGGGAACCTGCGGCCTTGAGGCCATGTGTGGCCCTCTAGGTCCTCAAGTGCAGCCCTTTGACTGAATCCAAACTTCATAGAACAAATCCCTTTAATAAACGGATTTGTTCTGTACAGCTTGGACTCAGTCAAAAGACCACATCCTGTCTTAGATAGCCAGAGAGAGTGTAACATACTCATAGTTTTAACCTTCTAGAAATTTATAATAATCTAAGACAGTATTGGCGTGGAAACACAGATAGATTTAACACATTAAGTCTATATTACCTGAACAGTAAAGCTGCCATTACTGGAAAAACTATATTTAAATTTATCTTTATGTGTCTGTTCAAAGTGAAGTTAAAAAAAAGAAAAGATCCCATCCTTTCTTTCCTTCATAGGCTTTCTGTATTCTGGTACCCCAGGGACTGATATATGTTTTGTTAGACAACATAACACTTCAGACAATAACAATCAGTGTTTACTTGGATCCAATGGGAACATCTTACTGCAACTCAATCCACAGAAACCAGGGGCTATTGATAACCAGCCTTTGGTAACTCAAGAACCAGTGAAGGTAAATAATTTGACATCTTAAATAAAAGCAATTATTTTTTAAGTTAACAATTTATTTAGTTGGGCAATAAGCTGAAATGTTTTTAGAACAAGCATTTAGAGATCTTAATAGAATTTGTAAGACTTTTAGCTACTTGATATATTATCCCTGGAAATATGTTGGTCTTTTTGGCAAAGCTATTGGGAAAATGCAGCCTACTCTAAATTTTGAAAAGTTTTTCAGTTACATCAAAAAATAGTCTTGCTCTTATTTGTAAATGCACAGATTACAGTTTTACATGATTTGCCTTGTGACCATAAGTGGTTTATTTTGGAAGCTAAATATTTCCCTAAAAAACTAAAGACTTTGCGTGAAACCAGCTTTAGGAATCTGAACTGATTTTTTTTTCCCCCCAAAACAAAACAATCTTCTGCTGTCATGCTGAAAAATAACATTCATAGTCTGTCTTTCCTAAAGGCTACATCTCTAACACTAGAAGGGGGACGATTGAAACGAGCTCCACAACTGATCCATGGAAGAGATTATGAAATGGTCCCGGAACCTGTATGGAGAGCACTTTATCATTGGTATGGAGCCAATTTGGCCCTTCCTAGACCAGTAAGTACAGCCAATAGTTTCTTTTCACGCTCTTCCAGGGTGGGTAATGGAACTGTCAGTAAAAGATGCTTTGGTTACTTTCCTGTCTCTATAGATATAACCACATTGTCACCTCACTGAAGTAGCACTCCTAGTGCTATATATTGGTGTGTAAAAGTTGAGAGTTTCCTTTTCAGGCACTTTTATTCCCGTTAGAAACAGACACCGGTGACAGGAACTAGAGCTCATACTGTTATGAAATGTCTTTTTGTGGCATCTAGGCAGGGAAATTGGCCTGGGGCATGAGAGAGTAGAGTTGTAGTCCTGACTCTGCCATTCATAACTATATATGGTGTTAGGATAATCTTGTCACCTCTCTGGACCCTAGTTTTCTCACCTATAGAATGAGGGGAGGGGGAGTAGATCCTTTTAAGGGCCCTTCCAGCCTTGGTAGTTTTTCTATCGTTTTTCTTCTTAAAATGCAGATTACACAAGCAATTTGCCTATAGTATGTAAATGTTTCCAGTTCTAGAAGTCTTAGAAACTTGAACGTACTAAATTGTCTTCTGCCTTGCCCCTGTTTTTCAAGGTATACTATCATTTGACTTTGAACTTAGAGCATGTCACATGAAAATATTAGTGATTTGTGATACCAACATTTTAAATCATGGTAATAAAAGAAAAAACCCATTTGGTTATGACTCCTTAGTGCCCTAGTGGCTTACTGTAACACTGTCCTGAGGGTACTTGGTGTACAGTTGTCTCAGTAGATGAGAGAAGATGACCTTCTAATAAGATGGTTTCGCTATATCAGTAACTTTATTCCTTTGTGTTGACATCCCGGCGAGACCTGCCAATAGTCATTTTGTTGTAGCAAGGTTTTGTATAATGTGAGTTAAATCAGCAAATGTGTTTAGTGCCTTTTCTGCAAGGCATTGGAGATACAAAGATAAAAGATCACAGATGCCATGTGTTTTTGGAGCTTACTTAGAATCTCATATATGAATTAAAGTAGAATGTGATCATTGAAAAGATAGACCCAAAATCCTAGATAAAAACAGTTTGAGGAAGGAAAAATTACTTTAACTGAGGATATCAAGGAAGTTCTTAGTGGAGTCTGTGTAAATGGTAGGATTGCACCATTAATCAAATTGCCTCTTTTCTCCCTCTTCCTACTCCCATAATAGTTATGTACAATAAAAGCTTGATATAACATCCTATAAATTACATGCTAGTTCATATGGATGTTAGTCACCATAGTATTATTCCTCTTTCCTCAAACCTGTTTTCTTAAAGTTCTACTTTATTTGATGTCAGGACACCTACATTTTACATGCTTTTATTGAATCTCTGAACCTTCATTGATCTTTACAAAAAATGTTTTCCCTGTTCTTTTCCCTGGAGACATATTGCATTTATACTGGATTTTTGTTATGAAGAGTGTATTATGAAAAATGTTGGACTTGGAGTCAGGAAGACCTGGGATCAAATCCTGGTTCAGACACTTTTTAACTGTATGATGCTGGGCAGGTCACTTAACTTCTAGGCCTCAGTTTCTTTATCTGTATAAAAAGGATGTCAAATTCACCTTTGAAGTCCCTTCCAGCTCCAACTTTATGGTCTTATGTTCTTGTGATTTTTTTTTTTTGGCTAACCAAATTAGATTCTCTAATCAGCTGTTTCTTTATTTTAAATAGTATTTTGTTTTTTCCAGTTACATGTAAAGACAATTTTTTAACATTCATTTTTACAAAATTTTGAGTTCTAAATTTTTCTGTCTGCCTCCTTCTCCTCCCCTCTTCCTAAAATGGTAAGCAATCATATAAAACGTATTTCCCTATTAGTCATGTGAAAAAAGAAACAGACGAAAAGGGGGAAAAAAAACACGAAAAAATAAAATAAAGTGAAAGCAGTGTGCTTCGATTTGCATTCAGAGTCCACCAGTTCTTTCTCTGGATATGGATAGCATTTTCCAGCATGAGCCCTTTTGAATTGTCTTAGATGATTGTATTGCTGAGAAGAGCTACGTCATTCATAGTTGATCATCACACAATGTTGCTGTTCTCCTTGTTCTCCTCATTTCACTTTGCATCAGGTCATATAAGTCTTTCCAGGTTTTTTCTGAAATCCACCTGCTTATCATTTCTTATTGCACAATAGTATTCCATTACATTCATATACCACAGGTTGTCAATTGATGGGCGTCCCCTCAATTTCCAATGTTTTGCTTCCACAAAAAGATCTGCTTTAAATATTTTTGTTCATGTAGGTACTTTTCCCTTTTTTATGATCTCTTTGGGATACAGACCTAGTAGTAGTATTATTGGATCAAAGGGTATTATGCACAGTTTGGTTGCCCTTTGGGCGTAGTTCCAGATTGCTGTCCAAAATGGTTGGATCAGTTCACTACTCCACCAACAGTACATTAGTGTCTGAATTTTCTCACATTGTTCTTGTGATCTTAAAAATAAAGACTATATTAGTGTTGAGATTATCAAGTAAATGTTCCTTTCAGTGAGTCATGTTGTTATAATGGTTGGCTTGACAAATTAATGTTATTCATTGTCTTTTTCTCTAAATTTAAGAAATAAGAACTTATCTGAATCAAAAGAATATAGAAATGAACATGTTATGCCTTCCCAAGTTTAGGAATACTAAGCATCAATATAATTTCCAAATAAAATGGCTTATTCTGGTTGAAAAGAATAATATTCATCCTTATACTTGGTGGAAAGGGAAAAAAATGGTTTGTAAATGAAAGGACTTGGTTGAATCTATTGTCTAGGTCTCCTGGATGACATTATAACAAGTACTTAGAAGAGAGTAGTAGCATAGTAGTAGCTAAAAATAGAAATGGTTTTGTCTTGAAGAGTTCACTAGTGCAATCTATAATTTGCTTATGAGATTCCGTGAGATCATAGAAAGTAAAACATGTTATATTACAAAACTACTTTATTAGCGGTTCAGATTCTGCCAGAGGTATGCTATTATGTAGTTTGATTCCTGAAGATTTTATAATAATGGTGGTTTACCAAAATTCTGCTTAAGCTGAAATTAGGAGTAATTAGGGTGGTTTTCCAGGTGCATATGTTTGCCTAGAAAAAGAGGATTTTTCATTAGCATACGTTGTTCTGAAGAGGAATTGAGATGAATTTATAGATTTAAGGTTAAGTTGAAAAGACTCATATATTGAGTGATCCTGTTGACAGATTGTAGAAAATTTAATATACAAAATAGTTTAAGAAGTAATCCTGATGACTTAGTTTATAGCACTTTTTTTATCACTCATTCGTGTCCCCTCATGATATTCAGAAATGTACTGTTAAAGGAGTCATTAGTTCTCTGCAGAGAGAAAATACATGGTCATTTGCGGCTATTAGAAATTTTGTAGGATTTCAGTTTGCAAGATTTGGGGTATTAATCTTCCTATCATTACAAAATCCTGAATTGACATCATCCTACCAAAATTACCATTAGAACTTCAATTTGCAGATCCTAGGTCATATATTTAGAGCTGGAAAACACCTTGGATACCAGTCCAACCCCTTTATTTTACAGATGAAAAAGCTGAGGCCCTGGAAGGTGAACTGACTTGCCCAAAGTCACATAGGAATTAAAACTCAGATGTCGCATTTGAACCAGGGTCCTCTGAATCTAGAACTGTTGCTTTTGCCATTGTACCACTGAGTCTTAGAGGGAAATCTCATGCCTCTTCTCTTAAATTTGTGTCAACTGTGCCAGCAGTTGTAGTGATATATTTTAGTGAGACAGGTTAGGATAATATTTTAGCATCTTGGTGGATAAAAGGTTATATGTGTAAGAAAAACTTTTTTAAAGTAGAAAGTTTTCTATTTTAAAAAAAACTTTATTTTGTGGTATTTATGTTTCAAATGTTACCACAAAGGATAAAGAATTTTGTAGGAATAGATGTTTTTAAGTCCAAGTTCCTCTAAGAAACTAATACTCATAGTCATATTGTAGATATTTGTGTACATTGTGTACCCACCTAAACTGTAAACTCCTTGAAGTCAGGAACCTTATGTTATATAATTTAGTATCATAAACAGTGCACAGCCTGTGGTAGGCACTCAATAAATATCACAGATAAATGACTTGAATTTGACAAAGCAGTAACACTGACTTCTGTTGCCTACTTTTGCTTCCATCTTCTCCCTCTTTTGTAGCCATCTGGAGTCTTAGAGTAACTTAGAGGAAATATAAAGTTATCTAAGTGTTTTTATTGAATCTCCTTCACCCTTGGTAAAATCTATCAGAAACTGCCTTTCTGTAGATACATAACTCAAATCTCACCCCTCTTCTTCCCACCCTCTACCACTGCCTCACTTAACCTCAACAGAGGATGTTAAATTTAGTAAAACTTTATTCTGTTCTTTTCCTATTCCCATTATGCTTTCACATGTTGTTTTTCCCTTATCCTTTCTAAATGTCACTCAGTCATCAGTACCAGATGCCCTATTTGAGTTATTGGCCCTTGTTCTTCATTAATTAGCATCATCAGAATACTCCTATCCCATCTCTGCAAAAAATGAGCTTCACATGGGAACATCTTTGAATTCATATCTAGATCTTGTTGCCCTTTATCCTTTGACGGTAGCTTTTCTTAGTTCTCATTACCATCTTTTTCATCTTCTATTCTTTAGACGAACCTGTTTCCCATTTCTTACCTTTTGTAACCTTTCCTTAAAGAATCATTTCACCTCTTATCCTGAGGCAAAAAAAAATACCCTAAATCAGAACCAGGCAAATCCTGGGTGCCTATTTCCTCTTGGCCCTTAATACTTGGAACAAGCTGCAAGGGAAAGGGTAATAAAAGGTTAGAGGGGATTATCCTACCAATGGTTTTCCACCCCACAAGTAGCCTTTCTTTCAGTGCCTATTTAAGATGGTCTTTTTCCCTTACTTAATTATGTATAAAGTCTAATTTGCTTATAATTTTCATTAATAGCAGATGCTCATTTATCTTAATTTTCAAAACACCAGGTGATCAAGAATAGCAAAACGGACCTCCCAGAGCTAGAATTGTTTCCTCGTTATCTTCTTTTTCTGAGACAGCAACCTGCCACTCGGACACAGCAGTCTAACATCTGGGTGAATATGGGTATGATGAGCCTGAGAATGTTTCCTCAACATTTACCTAGAGGTAACTTAAGAATGCAGCAAGAATACAGTACATTTTCTCAAAAGTGAAAAGCAAGTTGCTCCAAGTCTAGTGCCACTGTGCTGATATGCATTCCCATCTGCTTTCATGCAAAATCATTAAATATTCTAATATATGGGGCTTAGATCTAAGATCATGCGCAAGTATGAGTTAGGTAGAATAGGAAGTACAGCAGACTCAAAGCTGAAACAGGGTCAAATTTATACAAACACTTAAATATTTCTTAATAACAATACCTACCTTCCAAAAGGTTGTTGTGAGAATCAAAAGAGATATTTGTAAAGCACTTTGCAAACCTTAAAGTGCTATAAAAATGCTATTATTATTCCCCTCTACAGTCGTTATTATGATAAACGATCCCTAACCACTTAAAACTTTTCTACTTTACCCAGATGCATAGCTCGGTAATCCCTTTGGCAGTTGCACTTTTAAGTATTTAGGATAACACCTATAATTTCCTGATGATAGTTAAGAATCTGTAACAACATCAGTTTTGTTGTTCATCAGTCTAAACATTAGTCAGAGTAACAAAGTAACAGTCTGGGTTGAGAAAAGTTCTGTTTTTAAACTTGAAAGATATGCTATCATTGATAAACAAATATAATACATTCTCTTAGACCTCTCATCATATTGAGTTAATATTTGTTTTAAAAAAATTATGGATTAGCAACATGCAAAAAAGCACCAATTCCAGTGTATTATAGAGGTGAAAGGACACATTTGTGACAATGGAAGTGACAGATTTATTTTTTAAAATTCCCAAGCATATCATAATCCTATGTAAATATTTCTCCATTTTAATTTATAGCATTCATTATATACTAACTTTGCTATTGTTTAAGGTCAAAATCAGCACACTTTCTAATGGCATTCTTACATTAAAGAAATAAAAGCTCTAAAAACATTGTTTAAAATAAACAACCATCTAACCCTTTAATTTTTGTGTCAGGTGGTCATATAGCCACAAGGTTCTTTGTGTAGTCAAAGGGTTCTTGTGAAAAACAATCCTTGTGTCTACTTACTATAATATTGAATTTTTAATATCAGTGATAGACATAATTTACTTTTATTATTCATCCTGCCAAATGTATGTTATTCTAAAGTTAAAAACAATTGTGTTATGGAACATCCTTTTGTATTGAGTTGGCAGACTTTGGACTTTACTCCATTACCAGGAATTCATGTTATGGAATAAAATTAAACAGTAAAATTAAATATAAGGGGAAAACTACTTTTGAACTGAATACAATGCAATTAATGCTATCCCAACCTTTGAAACTCCAGAGCGTGATAATTTTATCTATGTAAAACTTATTTAGAAGTGACTTCCTTGTTCTGTGTAAAGGCCCTTCTATATATGCCACCCCTTTTGGAGGTCAGTTATATTAAACTTTGCCTTTAAGAAGATGTCAAATGAAGGGAAACAGTAAAATGGCATCAATAAAATCTATTCTCTGCTGTATATTCTTGACAAATTAAGCTTCCATTTAACTTTCTCTCAAATTAAATGGGTGTCATTGGCCTTCTGTAGCACATAATATAATCCTATATTTTTTGCTATCAATTGAGAATGGAAATTAGGCATTTACAGTATTACTCTTTATTAAGATTTCTTTACAAATCTTGTGCTGATCCTAGATTTTTGCTGCTTTTATAAATTCTGCTAGATTAGTGGAAGCCAAACAAAGGCATGAAATTACATGTAATCAGTGGCTGCCTACTTGAAGAGTTTTGCTACTGAAACTATCTAGCACCCGAATAATTTTGAGTATTTGGCTTATGACTATGGAGATTGTTTGGTGTGGACATTGGAAAATGCTTCTTATTCTTATTAATGGATAGTTCTGATGTGGCAAATTTGTTCTTAATTCAAAATTTTGCTCCGCACTAATTATTTGTTAAATCAATTATTAATCTTATTGAAGTTTACAAGAATTTGCTTTCTTGCTGTAATCTTATAACTAATCCTCTCATCTGTAATTGCAGAGATTTGTTCTTTTTCTTTAAGAAGTTATCCTTTGCTCTCTGAAGGTAAAAGGAGTGCTTTATTTTTTGTTGTTGAGAAATTTTTAAATTTGGTTTTGCTCTTTTTACTATAGCATTCATCATTCTCTCACTCCATTTATTATTGTTGTTTATTTGATTGTTGTATTCCTTTTGAAATGGTGGGTGTTAAACACTGCTACTGTTTATGACTTAGTCATACTCTCCATTACAGAAAAGGCTGTGGCAATGTATCTGATGCAAGTGAATTCTTTTAAGAAAAGTACATGATATGTATGCTTTGTGTATAGTTTTCCTCAGTTTTTGCCTTATTTATGTAGCTATTTCTTAGACAAGCTAGCTAGTGCCACTGCTTAGAACCTTTACCTGGATAGAGCGTTAATGTGGTTCATTAAAGAATTAATAGTAAGAATCAGAAACTGGAATCCTAGTCATCTTCAAGAGAGACAGTACTGATGTGTTGTTATATTTTTATTTTCAGTTTTTTGTCTATTTGGAGGCTAAGGATCAGGCTAGATTTTGTTAAGAAAGGTTTTTAGTAATGTGGCTGTTTCATATGGTGTTCATTGTAAGTTTAATAACCTATGTGGTTTTCTCTAACTTTTTGTCAAAATCTTGCTTTGACTCATTCCACTCTTCCTCCTTTAAAGTCCCCGACTGGGCTTGGGATAGTCCTCAGAAGTTTGTTTTTTTTCTATTATTGCTGTATTGTATTCTCACCTCAAGCTCCTTTGAAACTGTATCATGTCTGTCATTGACTTAGGAACATAGATCTAGAGCTGAGAGACCATCTGTTCTTAGATCTAGACCTCAGAGGCCATCTGTTCCAACCTTCTCATTGGAAGAAGCTAGGCTACCTGACCACTTACTTGAGGCCGGCCACACAGTAGTAAGTGGCAGAGGCAGTTCATCTAACTCCCAAGTCTGTACCTCTATACCAAGCTCCCTCCTGTAGCGATTGAGGATTGATATATTGTAAAGAGAACTTCTCATTTTGCCCTTCAGACAAAGTATACTATATACCTAGCTCAGGACCAAACATCTTTAATTTTAAATAAAATTTTCCATTCCCATATATTCCAGAAGGGAGTTAAGCAATTTAGAGGAGTAGTGTTATTAGAAGTTTGACTTATTTTCATAAAGTGTGACTTAAGTAAGTCCTATTTATTTTTTTCAGGCATTAGTCAAAGTCTCAAGGAATAAAATACAGTTTCCAAGCAGTACCACATTTTTTTAGGCCTTGATACTGTGTGTTTTTTAGCCTAAAAATACCCTGGGGCTTCTGTTGTTTTCCCTTCCAGAGGTATAACTTTTGTCCACTTCTTAGAAAGTGTAGTCTCCTCCCCCGTGTCTGTCTTCAACTTAAAACTTTAGTCTCATACATTAAATATTTTCATCCAGTAGCTCTCGTTTTGTGATTATTGTTTCCTAAGTTAATATTTTAATTGTTGACGTGAATATTTTTTGACACCTGCCTTTTTTTCTTTATTGTGATTATTATGACCACAGGGAATGTGCCTTCTCCAAATGCCCCTTTAAAGCGGGTGTTAGCCTACACAGGCTGTTTTAGTAGGATGCAAACCATCAAGGAAATTCATGAGTACCTGTCTCAGAGGTTGCGCATCAAAGAGGAAGACATGCGCCTGTGGTTATATAACAGTGAGGTAAGACTGTCTGAAGATGGTTATGAATCAACCATGTCACGTGTTAAAAACATTTATTCAATATTTACTCGTCATCAACTATGTATGAGTCGCTAGAGAGGAAATGAAAAAATGAAAATCATTACTGTTCTTTAGGAAAAGTATTTCACTGGGAAGAGACCTATATATGCGCTTGCACAGATGGAGAGGGTAAGACAAGATTTGGAAACTGCAAGTTGTCTATTTAGGCTTGGCAGCCTCCCAATCTCCCAACTTGTTTTGCCCTCTCTCTCTGTTCAAGAAGAAAAATATTAGGAAATAAGACTATGAAAGTATGAGTCATTGAATCTCATCCCATTATTTGGTAATAGTAATTATCATCATTTATTAGGAGTAGGTAGTTGGATAAGGCCAAATTTTTTTGATTAGAGGAATGACATGCTTGGACCCCTACAGTGTGATGTATTATTGGCCGCAGAATTGAGAAATAGTACCATCTAGAGGAGAGACTTGAAAAAGGGAGACCAAGAGTGGTAGTCAAAGAGGGAAATAATGCCTGAACTAGACTGGTGGTGGCAGTAAAAGAGGGAAAGATGTAATGAATGTGAGAGAGATTTTGTAGGTAGAAAAGGATTCAGCAACTTATAGGATGATAGAAAGGGGTAAGGGTGATTCTCATGGGTTAAGCTTTTGTGGTTAGAATTGTGATATCATTAGTAGAAGGAGAGAATTTAAGAAGAGGAACAGGTTGTAGAGAGGAAATGATGAGTGTGAGTTTTCATTAGGAAATGAGGGGCTCTGGAGATCAGGAATAAAGATATATATTTGGAAATTACAAATAGAAACAATACTTGAAGTTGTGGATGGTGGATGAGATCCAAGGTTCACAAGGGTTAAGGTTTTTGTTCATAATAGTTCTCATTCTGTAGAATGTGTCTACCCTGAACCAGAACTTGGATATATACATAGGTTTACCTGTCATCTAGGCTTTTGAAAGGGTCTGTTTTAAAAATTAGTCTTTTGAGGCTATTGAAAGTGTCTGTTTTAAAAATTAGCCAAGGGGTAATGGTTAAGAGGAATATAGCTTCCAGTAATAGAGAGGTGGTAGTCCTTTCTCTGTAGTCTGCTTAGGAGAGACCACTTCTAGAGCACTTCAGTTTAAAGAACTCGACATGTTGTAAAATGTACAAGGAAGGACAACCAAGATAACGAGGAGCCTTATATTCATGCCATATTATGATAAATTAAAGCCTGGAGAAAGAAGATTCTTAGAGAGAATAGGGAGACACGATAACTGTCTTTAGGTATTTGAAAAACTGTCTTGTGGAAGGAAGAAGAGTCTGTTTGCTCCAGAGGACAGAACCAGGAACATGTAGATAGAAGTTGCAAAGAGGAACATTTAGGCTTGATATAAGGAAGAAATTCCTAATGATTAGCATTATTCATAATTAATTAGATGGGCTTCCTCTAGAGGTAGTAGGTTTTCCCTCCTTGAAAGTCTTCATGCAAAGGCTGGATATCTGTTTGTTCAAATATGTTACAATGTGAATTCTTTTTCGCGTATGAGCCCACTTTAGTATTTTCCAACTCCAACATTCTGTGATTTATTTTGTAATGCCTAGGGAGAGTAGGCGTTATATTTGAGGATGAATATACTAGTTAAATCTTCTCTTTTTAGTTCCTTTTTTCTTCTCACCTCCTTTGGTCACCTTTCTTTGATTTCTTTTTAAAAGTTAACAAGCTTGTGTGTTTTTGAAAGTGAAAGGAAACCACTTATTAAAGAGAATATCTGTTATTATTGTTATTGTTGTTCTGTGGAGTTCATCACATTTGGTGTAGTTTTTTACTTTTGAGTATCTGATTAAACTTGATTTCTGTACATTTTTCTTTTTAAATCAAAATCAGAGTGAACTGTACTTTGTATATGATAAATTATAAATATTGTGATGCTTTCCCATGTGATTTTTGTTTTAGGTACAGAGACAGACTAAATAACTTACTTGCTCTCATACAAACAGCAGTATACGGCTATGTTGTATCAGATTTCTATGACTAGAATTATGTGATTGAAGTTTTAAATTATCACATTCATTAGGAGAGGTTATGCTTAAATATAAACAAATCTTCAAAAATAATTTCCTTTTTCTTGCAGAACTACCTTACTCTTCTGGATGATGAAGACCATATGTTAGAATATCTGAAAATTCAGGATGAACAGCACTTAGTTATTGAAGGTAGAAGCCTACAACATGTTGATATTAAGGGTGGGACAAGGGAAGTATAAGGATTCAAGGTTTCTTCCTATTTGGCATGTTATTTTATCTTATTTTTTCAACAGAGTTAATTTATAGTTAATAATTTTCTTATGTTAAAGAAATTCTAAAATACATGAGATCCTAGAGCAAACCTTTAAAAATAAATTACAGAAAATTTTATTATTTAAAAAAAAAATACCTTTCGCAACTCTTGTTGGATTCTTTAAAAAGTAAGTGCTTAATTTGAAACTTAATATTAAATATCCAGGCAGACAGCTAGATACATTAAAAAAAATTTTTTTTTAAACAGACACGTTCAGATAACATGTCCTTTGAAGATTGGCAGATGATTTAATTCCTGTTAGCCTGAAAAATGCCAACAACCACTTATTGAGGTTTTAGATTTTTGGAGTTCTTGAAATTCAGGGGTAAGGGGATCTGTTGTAAGCTTACTAGCATTGAATCCATACAGACCACCATCCAACAAACTTACTTTTATCTTTTTTCCTTCAGATTGTGTTAAACAAACAAGCAACCCATTCTTTGCTCCCTGCTTGCTACATGAAAGTGTTTATATTTATATTAAGATAGGCAGGTACAATACTCTTACAGATTGACACTTAAAGTAATATGTTTTTAAGTTAAAGTGTAAACATTACTTTTCAGCTTAAAACTCTTATTTGGATAGTTGTAAGGCTGATTTTATTTTTAACATTTAGTTCATTGTATAGGTGATTAACCCTAACTTAAATATCTGTACCATATCCGACAGTACAGACAAAAGTAGAAAGAAATAAAAAAGAAAAATAACTCTTCCCATTGCCAAAATTTACTTTATTTTCCATTTTTGTCATTTTTTAAGGTACAAATTGATTTAGAGAAAGGAAACCTTTTATCTCCTCCCCCATGCAAGGGTTTGAGTTGTGTGACTTGGAGTACATGAGGAATGAATACATTAATATCTTTTTCTTTCTAGTTCGGAACAAAGATATGAGCTGGCCAGAAGAGATGTCATTTATAGCAAATAGTAGTAAGATAGACAGACACAAAGGTAAGTCTCTGGTGTTTTTAATGTCACTAACATGTAAACTAAAATCTGCATGAAAGGAGGGTAAGAAATTGGTGTTTATAATAGATTGATTCCACAATACATTTAGATAATGTTAAACTGGTTTATTACTTTGTTTATACTTCTGTAGCATTCTTGAAGACTCTGTGGAGTTAGAAGCCATGAAAAAACTAGCTTTTTCTTTTTTATAAACAGTTGTATATGTTTACTTCTGATGCAGCATTTCATTTTAAATGAAATGTTTATTGAGTATTTACTATATGAAGAGCACTGTCCTTGGTGCCAAGGAAAATACAAAAATAAGAAGTAAAGTTCCTGCTTTGAAATGAGTAACAATTATTACACCTAGAAATTTAATTCAATTTTTATTTAATCAGCCACATAATCTTTGCATTGAATGTCATCGATTTTTAAGAAAAGTGTTGTGTGAATTATTGAAAAGTAAATGCAATACTAATTACTAAATGCTAATTTACTTTAATAAATACTAAATACTAAAGTAATTGCTGAATCTGGGGCAGAAAATAATATGGATTATACACACTGCTCACTAAAGACTTTTCAGCAAATTCAGTGCAAAAATATTTCTTCTCATGGATTTTGTGAGAAACTTTGGCTTCAGCTGCAGAAAAAGTAATGGAAAATGACCACTTGTGGTCCATGCCCATTTCTCTGAGTTGTAAAAATCCTTACAAAAATTAGTGTTGGCAAAGTATGATATATTCCTTTTTGATAAAAATGAATGTAATTTAACAAAAGGTTAAGGTAGGCAAATTTAAAATTATTACTTTGACTATAATTGGATTCAGTTCACCTATTAAAAGCAAAGAGATTATGAATTGTGGGGAAAAAAAAAGACCCCACCATGTTATTTAAAAGAAATATAGTATACATAGTAAAGTTTTGCAAAGTGCTTTACAAATATTATCTCATTTTAACCTCACAACAGCTCTAGGAGATAGATGCTATTACAGTTATCCCTTCCACATCACAGAGATTAGGGGTGCGATGCTCCAAAATCTGGAAAATCTGCTTAAAATTTTTTGCCCTCCCTTCGTATCACAGAAGTCTGAATTTTTTTTTTCTTTTTCTTTTATGAGGTGTTTGTAGTACCTTCCTGCAAAATTTGGTCATAAGGCTGTGTTATACGGTACTATACATATATTTTATGCATTTCTGAGTTTCTAAACTTTTTCTGTGTCATCTGCTAGTCTTCGTGTGTTTTCTGCAGCTTCCGCAAAACTCCTCAAAAATTCCCATTTAATTTCTTATGCCAATCCGTGATATATCAAAACCACGAGGGGGAAAATTGTGATGTGTAAAGGATAACTGTATTATCCCCATTTTACAGATGAAGCAACTGAGGCAGACAAGTTAAATAACTTGCCTGGAGTCAGAAAGCTATTGAGTGTCTTGAGGCAAGATTTGAACTCAGGCCTTTCACATTCCAAGTCTTGCATTCTATCCACTGTACCACTTGACTGCCTCTTTATTATTATTTAATTTTAAAAATTGTTAGGATAATTACATAGTATGACAAAAAGGGAGCTAGAGCCAAATCTCATATCTTATACTAAAATAAATTCCAGACAGATCTTTGATCTAAAATTTTTAAATAATAGAAAGAAGATATTAGAATATTATTCGTCACAGTTATACAAAAAAAAATAAAAGAAATTTTTAAAGAACAATACAAGATATTTGATTATATACAAATATGTTCAGCTATGGTATTTCACCACATAATCCTTGCAGATTCTATGCCAAATTTTTTTTTTTAAAGTAGGGTGCCAGTATTACTTGTCTTTTACTTTCCTCCAGTCATTCACCAACTTTTCGTTCCCTGGAAACTGTCTTTCTGCAGCTCTGTTTCCATGCTGTTCAGTGAACACAATCACTTTCAGCTTGAAGCCCACCGAATAGTTTTTATATTTACCCAGGGTGCGATGATTATGTGGTGAAACATGGATTTAGAGTTGAAGACCTTGGTTCAAAGCCAGCTCTGCTCACTTGCTCTTGTAATCTTGTACAAGTCATTTAACTTATATAGACCTTAGTTTCCTCATCAGTTAAATTAGAGGACTGGACTAAATTGTCTCTAAGCTCCCTTCCATATATAAATGCTATAATCCTACAGAAGAGGTCTCGTACTACCAAAAGTAATCCATATAGTATAAAAGGGAAAACTCTATTATGAAGAGACTAGTCTTGGCAAATACTTCTGATAAAAGTTTGATATCTAAATGAAATGTTAAACTATCCAAGGAATAGTTGGACTATATAAGGAATTCATACAGGTTTATAAGAATAAGACCCATTCCTATCACTAAATAAATGATCAGAAGATATAAACAGACAATTTTTGATATGATACAAAAATTATTAATAGCTATATGAGAGAATATTCATACTCTTTAATAGTTAGAAAAATGCAAATTAAAACAATTCAGGATACCATCTTATATGCATAAATAGACAGAATTAATTTAAGTTTAAAATTATAAAACTTAGAATTAGCATGGCTGTATAAAAGCTTTTGTATTTCTTGATAGAATTGTGAATTAGTACAAGTACTTTTTTTTAAGCAGCATAGAATGATATAAGAATTTAAAAGCTATTTATACCTTTACTAATGATCCCATTGTTTCACTAGGGATATTACTGATAGAAAAATAAATTCATTTGTATAAAAATATTTTGGCAGCCTTAATAATAGCTAGCATTTATATAGTGCTTTAAGATGTGCAAAGTACATTATTATTATTATTATTATTATTATAGTTAACATGTATATAGTGCTTACTGCATGCCAAGTACTGTCCTATGCACTTTACAATTATTATTTCATTTGATCCTCACAACAACCCTGGGATATAGGTGCTATTATTGTCCCCTTTTTTACAAATGAGGAAACTGAGGCAAACAGAGATTAAGTGACTTGCCCAGGATCACACAGCTAGTAAGTGTCTGAGGGTGAATTTGAACTCAGATTTTCCTGACTCCAGGTCCACCGTTTTATCCACTGAACCACCTAATTGTCTTTATCCAACAAATAATTGGAATATAAGTTCGTAACAATAAAAAAATTAAAAACCCAAGTGATAAAATTATGATCTTGTTAAACAGTTCATTGGCATATGATTGTAATAGATTATTATATATGCCACAAGAAATGACAGATAAGATGAATAAAGAGAAATATTAATTCAGAAGTGGTATGTATAGTTCCTATAATATCCCTGCTATTAGAGAGGCTAAGATTGATTGGTTGCTTGAACTGAAGAGTTCAGAGCTAAAGTGGGCTAGATATATCACATGACCACACTAAGTTCAATTCTAATATGCTGAGTCTTGAGAAGTGGAGTGGGGTAGAGGTTGGGGGTCAGCCTGCCAAAGGAGAAATTAACAAGTCCAAGTTGGAAACCAAGCTGGTTAAAGCTCCCAGGCTTATCATTATTGGGATCAGGCCCATGAGTGGCCAATATGCTTCCAGCCGAGGCAGGATAGGAGAGTATTCTCCAAAAGAAAAAAAAAAAAGAAAGAAACATGGAAAGTGGCATCACATATAGAAAATGATACCAAGTGAAGAGGGTACAATCATATAATCATGTTGATTATAACTATGTAAAAAAAAATGAAATCTAGAAAATATACAAAAAACTGAGGATGCAGGAAAGAGGTTGCATATAAGCAGGACAAGTCTGTTACTACTTTGTTTGGTGTATTTTACATATTTTAAAAACTGAAAGTATTAGAAGGTTGTGATTTTACATAAAATATTAATTTTGCATATTTTGTGATTGATATTTGGTTGTTGAGATTATGATTTTAAATTTCTTAAATTACAAACTCATTGATTGTTTTGAATATAGGATGTGCTATGTTCTGTGACGTATTAACTACTAGACTTATGTTTTAGTTTTTTGGGACTTTTGTTTTGTTTTGCTGTAGTTCCCACAGAGAAAGGAGCCACTGGCTTAAGTAACCTG